CCCCGGCTGCCTTCAATCCCCTTTTTGCACTCTGCCATTTTTATTTTTTTTTTTTCAGAGAAGACAGAAAAACACCCACGTGTACACAGCCCTGTGGTGCTCCCACCCCCTGAGGAGCAAAGAAATGACCTGTGAGTCCCTGGGTGAGACCTGCGGGGGTTGTTCTGTTTGGGTTAAGTGCAGGTCGCCAGCCCTGTCCCCTCTGTGACCCGGGGTAAGCACAGGGGGGGCTGCCTGGGGATGACAGACCAGAGATGCTCTTCCCCTGCCAGGACAATTTGTTTGAGGGTTTGCGTCACAACAAGGATTTACAAAAATCCCTGGCAGGAACAACAAAGCAGCACATTAGAAAAGTGCTAAGATGGCAAATTGCTTCACTAAATATTAATTTCGATCTATCTGATATGGGCAGATGGGCTTGGTATGGAAAGCCCCCCTAAAAATTGATCTTGATCAATAATTTAAAAATTTCCTCATTCTCTCAAGTCCTACACGAATGGGATGTGTCAGTTTATTTCTGTGACGACTTTGTTCCCCACAGGAGCTCCTCGGCTTTGGGCTCTTCATCCCCTCCGTTCCCTCCTGCGCTGTCCCAGTTCTCCCAGCACTGCTCGGGTGTCTCTCAGAGCTTTGTCCCCTCGGCCCAGGGACAGACAGCTCTAACTTTTGTCCTCGTGTGGCTCTTCCCCCTCCTGAGGGCAGCGGGTGTCTGAGGAGCAGCCCCACGGTGACCTGTGCTACTTGCAGGCACGGTCATTCCCCCACCGCCGGCTCTCATGACCCTTTGGCCATGTGAAATCTTGGGGTTTGGTTTGTTGTTTTTTTTTCTGATAGCAGATGAGGTCTCAGAACGCCTCACGGGTGTGCAGACTCAATCCGGGTCAAATCTTAATCAGTTTGTGCTCTTCAGTTATGCAAAACGTGTTTGTTTCCAGCTGAACAGAGACACTTTCCCTGCTCAGCCCAGGCAGGAGCTGAGGCTGTGCTGCTGTGACCACCAGCTGTTCAGCTGCCGCTTTCAAGATGTGCTAAATTTAACTGCATTTGCAGAGAAACCTGTTTGGAATATTTCTCTGGAAATCTGCCCCAGCCTCCCGTCGCTGAGCATCGCAGCTGAGGGCCGCGGGCAGCTCCCGGAGCGCTGGATGGGGACCTGGGGTTTGCTCCAGCGTGTTCTGACGAAGCGCCATGTCAGGTTCTCAGTCTTATTCCAGTCTCTGAATGTCTTCCTTTCCCTTTAACCTTTTTGGCAGCTATAAAGCACAAATCCATTTTCCTTCCATCAGGGTCGGTTTGGTTAATTGACTTGCAGCTTTAGCTGATAAAGCTCCCTAAAACGTTATACCTTTCGCCATACTTAAACAAAAAGGGAGGAAATCAATACAGAGTCACATGTAATGGGGCTGCTTCTCCACTCAGAGCAAGCTGCTATCTCTTGCGGTCTGACCGCATTGCGTTCAGCACAAGCACTGACCTTCCTCTGACTCCCCCCCATCTCCCCTCTCCCGTCCGGGTGCTTTGGGGCTGGGCTCCGGGTCCTCAGCCCACCTCCCCTCCTTCCCCAGGCAGGAGCACCCCAACCCCGGGCTGTCGTCCTGCCTGTGCTGCCGAGAAGCTTTAGGCGCCTCCCCACGGGCTGAGCACCAAATCTCCTGAAACTCCGGGTATTTAAAGGCTGGGGAGACACATTAAATGCCACCCTGCTCTTTCCTTGTTATCTGCACAGCCCACAGCGACCCTGGGACTGGCCCACCCTGTCGATGTGATGGTTATTCCTGAGAGCAGCTGCACGGGGGTTTTTTTGGCCCGTTCTCCCAACACCATTGCAGCTGGGGTGCACGGGGTGTCTCACACAGGGCTTTTAGTCCAAGACACTATTATTTCCAGACTCGCGGACCATCAGTGCATGAGATGTCACCTTCCAATAGGACTGGGTCCAGTCCTCTGACCTTCTCCCTCACCAGCATTCCCGGCCTGCCGGTGAGCAGCTACTGCCTGGCGCTGCCTCTGTGCTGCCTGCACCCCCCCATGCTCCTGGGGAACCGCTCCTTACTCCAGGTGACAGGACAGAGCCTCCGTACCCCGATGTACTATGTCCTCCCCGTGCTGTCCATGGCAGACCTGGACTTGTCTCTCTCCATGGCCATTTTTGAGTCCTCCTCCCTCCGATTTGAGGCATGCGTTGCCCGGGTGTACTTCATCCACTCCTTCTGTGCCATCGAGTCTGGGGTGCTGGTGGCCACGGCTTTTGATCGCTTTGTTGCTATTGGCTACCCTTTACACGACGCCTCTGTCCTGATGAGCTCCCTCGTAATGAAGGGGTGTGTGTGTGTGTGTGATCTTCACATGGGGCATCTGTGGGGCTCTACCCATCACCACCCTTATTAAGAAGATGCCTTTTGGCAGGCCCCGTGTCCTGTCTCACTCCTTCTGCCTGCACCGGGACACACTGAGGCTGGTTTGTGGGGATGTCGGGGTCAGCGGCTTGTACGGGCTGACTGCGGTGACCCTGGGCTCCCTGACCATCCTCCTGTCTTACATGATGAGCATCAGGGCCATCTTGAGCAGCGTCTCCCAGGAAGCACGAGCCAGAGCCTTTAGCACGTGCATCTCCCACCTCTGTGCCATCCTGATCTTCTACACCCCGCTCGTTGGCTCGTCCATCATCCGCAGGCTTGGGCACCACCTGCCCCCTCACGCTCCTGGCCGATGCCTGCCTCCTCGCGCCGCCTGTCCTGAAGCTGCTCCTGTACGGCTGGAAAATGAAGCAGACCCGCAGGCGGATCCTCATCCTGCTCCACCGGAGAGGGACCCAGAAGTGGGTCTAGACCCAGAGTAACAACGCCCCAAAGACAGTCTCCGTCCTTTCCTCTCCCTATTGCTGATGGGCAATATCACCTCCTGGAGAAAATCACTCATGCTCCTTCACTTCCCAGGAGAAACCTGTCACCTCTTCTGCAGCACAGCTCTTTTCCTCTCCACGGAGGGGTGGGTTATGGCAATTCACAGTATTCCGCTTCCCATTTTGGGGTGCCTCACTTCTCAGAAAGTCTGCAGGAGGGCAGAGCTGGTGTGTCCCCCCTGCAGGTGGGAGAGAGAAGGCAGCTGAGAGCCGACTTGCGTCAAAGAATTCACTGCTAACAGCCGGTTTGGTCTCTAAAGAAATATAAAACAGTGTTGCCAGGCTTGTGCTTTTAATTACAATATCTCTGTATTGGTTTATTATATGAAAATGTCTGTTCCCAGAGTTATGTGATTACATGAGACTCCTCAGCTTTCGTTATACAGACAATGTGATTCACATCTTTCCAGTTATGGAGACAGGAACTGATGGCCTATGGGCCGTGACCGAAGGACACAAACCCAGAAAACTGAGTCCCCTCTCGCCGCAGCGTCTGCAAAGGGAGTGTGTGGTTTTACTGTCTCACGATACCATCTGCCCGGCCTACAGCTCTTCTGGGAACGTCACAAAAATCTCCCCCCACGTCCTGGGTTAGGGTTCACATGAGGGAAGGTGAGTCTGGTGTGGAGGTGCAGGGCGCGACGGGGGTGCGACGGGATCCAAACACGCCCTGACTGCTGGTGCCACGGGTCCCTCTATAGGTGACCAGTTCCATAGGGGCGGGCTGAGCTGCCCCTCTCAGAGCATCGAGGCTGTCATTAGCAGAGCCTCCACCCCGCCCCGAGGCAATCCACCTCCTGACTAACCACCCTTGGGGAAAAAAATACCCCCTGCAAGCCAAATCCTTGTGACTTGGTCACGTCTGCAGGGTCATACCACACCTTTTGCTCCTTTCTGTCCCCAAATCAGTGCCTTGGGTCTTTCTCACAGGCTGGTCTCCTCCTCTGGGCTCCCTCAGCCCAGCCTTTGCCTCATCCCAGTAGCTGAGCGGTCAAGAAGGAGGGAGCAGGGTGAAAAGGAGGAGAAAGAGAAGCCGGGACCTTGCAGGTGAGAGCCCCCAGCTCATGGGAGAGAGCGAGCTGCGGGCGTGCTGCGAGCAGCACTCATGTCGGGAGGGATGAAGGCAGAGGAAACCGCCAAACGCAGGGTCAGTGTCCAGCCACGCGAAGAAGAGCCTCAAGGTCAAGACCTGAGCTTGGGATGCCCTGGCCATCTGTCCGCAGGTGCCAGCAAACTGGGAGATGCTGCACATAGCAGGGATGTGCTGGAGAGCTTTGCCAGGGAGAAAAAAAAATGGTGCTTCTCTTTTGCTTTTTATTTGTTTCCCATCCACCCCACCCAGCTCCAAAAGCTGCTTTGGGAATTGCACCGAGAGCGTCTCCCAGCTCTCCTTGGTGCTGCTGGGGAGCATCCAAACGGCAAGGATCAGTGCTGTGAAAGGGAGGGAGGTGCCTTTTGTTTTGGCAAGCGTGAGAGAGTTATGGGAATACTGTACCTGGGTTTTTCTTTTTCATCAGGAGGAGGAAATGCTGTCTCTTCCAGAGTCTGCTGGGTGCCATCACCAGGAGGTGCCCCGCAGTAAAACCAGCAGGAACACGTGGTGCTGCTGCACACGCTGCTTCCCAGATTCTGGGACCAGTGTCCGCAGGAGGACAGACGCATTCCGTGCAAAAATAAAGATGGGTGCAAGGCAAACGCCACTGTTTAACACAGAGTCCTGGGCCTCATGGCTGGGAAGCCGCCAGAAACCTCTCCTGTGTTTTTCCGAGGGTCTGTAAAGCAGATCTCTGAAGACGGCATCTGTGTATGTCCGTGCTGAAACTGCTGAGCAGCTTCGATCTGCCAACAAGAGGTGAGAAGCCGGGACCCCACCAGGGCGACCTGAGCGCTCTTACACCCTGCCATGGCCACAGGCACGTCGCTGGGTGAGCTCCAGAAGGAGCGGTTCCTTTTGTGCCTGAATGTTTTGCTAAATCCAGTGAGTCAGACTGGGCAAGCCCTGGGGAAGAGCAAGTGTTGCTGGAATCAGCTTGTGGACGGGAGGGAGCAGCTCCCCAGGAGGTTAATGCAGCTGATGCACGTCAGCCGCTGACAAGTCTGGTGCTGGTTTGGACCAGTTGCCTCACAGGCGAAGTCCACAATTGGGTTAAACCACCAGCACTTCACCCGTTTGAGCCCAGCAGTGCTGACCCACCCCGGCTCTGGGTCACGCAGCCCCAGAGAGCATCTCCCATCCCCACAGAGCATCTCCCAGCCCAGAGAGCATCTCCCACCCTCAGAGAGCATCTCCCAGCCCCACAGAGCATCTCCCACCCCAGAGAGCATCTCCCAGCCCCAGAGAGCATCTCCCACCCCAGAGAGCATCTCCCACCCTCAGAGAGCATCTCCCACCCCAGAGAGCATCTCCCAGCCCAGAGAGCATCTCCCACCCTCAGAGAGCATCTCCCACCCCAGAGAGCATCTCCCATCCCAGAGAGCATCTCCCAGCCCAGAGAGCATCTCCTTCCAGGGAGAGGAGTGACATGACAATTAGTCCATCTGGTGCTAATTGGGCTTCCCAGCCCTCCTGGAGGTGGCTCCCACTCGGGAACAGAGCGCAGCTAACGCTCTGCCCTCCTGGAGGGCCCGTGTGACGCCGAGGAATGACATTCATATTACTTCTAGTTGGGATTTATCCTGAAAGCACCTCACGCGCTTTACGGAGCGAGGCGATGGGGTGCTGTGCTGGCTGTTGCTTTGGGTTTGCAATCTGAGATGACAGAAATGTGCTGCCCTGAGGCCTGGAAATCCTCGCCGTGTCTGCAGGTCCCGCTGAACCCGGCTGCTCTCCCACTGCCTCCGAGTCACGGCGATCCGCCGCCTTCATTTAATAATTGACAGGGCCGCCCGTCTTCCTCACGCTCGCTGTTTGCTTTTCTATGTTTGACTTTCCACCGACGGCGCCAAAAGCAATAACGTACATACCAATTTGTCTACAAGTGCTTTCCACCTGTCGATCCCTTTCTCTTATCTGCCTTTGCTCAGCCCTGCACCTACATAATGCATTTGCTGTCACAAAATTCCCTTTTGCCAGCAAACGGGGTAAGTTGTCAAGTTCTCCTTCGCACCAGCCCCTTCCCAGCCTGGTGAGCACAGCGGCTCTGATGATGCTGCACAGGGATGTGAAAATAAACCAAGTCCAGACGCCGCCTCGCTTGCTTCTTATTCTGGTCAACATTTGTGTTTTGTACCCGTCTCCCATTCCAGGCGCGTGTGCAGCTTTCCTCCCGAAATAGCTGATCACACACAGCCCTCGCGACGGATTCAGCTGGTTTTGTCTTAACAGATTTCACAGGGTTTCTCTTCCAAGGAAGGGGGAAGGCTCCCTGCAGCAGCCCAGATTTCTTACTGGTAAAACTTCATCTGCTCTGCAAGACATAAAAACCAGGCCCTAGCTCTGAAGTTAAAGGAGTCCATAGACAAGCTCTGAAACTGGGTCAGATCTGGGATTATCTGATGCATACCACTGAGAATTTTTTTTTCTGCTTATTGTTTTTAGTAGCCACCATCCAACTCCTCTTCTTATGCATCTTGGGATTTATCTGTTACAAGGTCCTGTTAAATTCCAGGGAACTTCGTAGTAAATCATCATGAATGAAGATCCGAGAACAGTTACGTGTTCATTGGGAAAGTTTGTTTTATCTTTGGAATTGGACACGGACTAATGTTCTGACCTAGTTTAAAACCACAAAATCCTCTGTTTATGCCTCCATATCCGTATGTTTGCACAACCCCAGAAAGAGCAGCTTTTAGCTCCATGTAAACACATTTCATACATTAATCTCAACCTTGAGAATGAAGTCGATCACGGTGGAGGCCAAGACGAATTGGGCATTTCAAGTAGACAAAGTGGGACACCATAAAAGGGCGCAGAGATTTTCAAAGCACTGAGGAAAAACTCCAAAGCCCAGCCTCTGGGTTTCCCTGGACGCAGTTCTGCGTTCCGTGTCCCAGATTTGGGACTACCTGTGGGCCTGGGGTCCACGCTCCCGCGGGGTGGTGAGTCGGTGCAGCCGTGGAGCTGTGAGCACATCTGCTCTAAGGCGGGCTGGGATGCTCTGTGGGTTCAAACAAGGAAAATTCAAACTGGAATCTCCCCTTGAAATCAGATCCTAGGTAACACCTTAAATCTCACCCGGTGGGTGTGACCCACTGGAGGCGTTTGCAGCTCTGTAGGTCGTCCATGAGTAAACCCTCAGCTCTTTCCCCACAGGAGACTTTGAGAAGCTCACGGTGAGTTGTGTTGGGGGGGTTTCAGGGTTTGCAGAATGATCCTGGTCTCCAGCTGTGGGAGAAAAGTGAGGCATGGTGGGCGCAGAGGGTGACGTCGGATCACGCGGGGACCCGGCCAGCCCATGCCTGGGAGCTGCTGCCCACAGTTGCCTCCTCCTCCTCTTCCTCGCAGCACCTCGGTTAAGCGGGGTCAGTCTGGTGGCTCTCGGCCCTCCCGTTGCATTCCTTCTCGCAGAGAGGGGGAGTTTATCCAGCCTCATTTAGAAACCCGTGACCGCACTTCAGCGTGAGGGATGGACCAGACGACCTCTTCAAGCCCATTCTGATCAAGCTGTCCATGGATTAGCACAGAACCGACAGCATAAAGCTCTACCATCACAGCTCCGATGGCGCTTAGGGCTCCTGCTTCGGTTTTCATCCCTGCTTCTGCTGCGGAGTGCTGCACCACTGACTGTGGCCCACAGTGTCTAGAAACTATTGCCCAGCAACAGGGACATCTTTAACCCCCAGACATCCACCCTGGTGGCCGCAGTGACATTTCTGTCCAGCCTCTGTGCTCTCATCTCCTTGTACCCGCTAGAAACTATGCACCCTGTACTGCAAAGGCCAAGCTCCGTGCACCCAGATATATTTGTGTTTTGCGCAAGTCCTCAC